CCTGGGAACAAAAAAAAGTTTCTGCTTTTTTTCTATTACAGTTTTGAGCTTTAATCCAGTATATACTATTAAAATCCTCCCACAGGAATCCAATTAAAGCGCAAAGTTATCACAAAGAAATGTTCCAAACCTGAAGCACTTGATAGGTTGGCTGCACAAATGTACCAACTCCATCCTTCCTGTCCCAGGACTTTAAAAAAAATAACTTTAAAGAAGGATTTCCCTTCTGGTCTGCATCCAGATAAAGACAAAATGTCAGCATTTTAGTTCAGGAAAAAAGCTGCTGCTTTCAGATGCTCAAAATATTGTTTTCAGGTTCTCCAAGGGTTGCTTTTTGGGCTTTTTAAAATGTACCCCTGAAATTGACCTAGCCTAGATGTGAATAGCCAGAACTGATTGCTCTCACTCAAGAAAACCTGTAATAGTAACACCAAACTTGCTGTCATGCTGAGATGCGAATGGACTTACAGAAGCATTTGCACAGGTGTCTTGATTGTTCCATTAAAAGAAACAAAAACGCAGTTGGTAGCCTTCAGGGCGATCCACACAAGGCCTCTGCACCACTCCCAGATCATCTCTGTTCTTCACGATCACGTGCCACTGTCAGCACTGAACAGCAGAGCTGATTAATTTCCAGCTTAGTAGCAGTGTGGAAGGAATCATTGCAAATGCAGTTGATACCGCTGAATTTGGAGAAGGGCCATTTCCCACTGGTGGGAATTTGCTCCTTGTCCTACACTCCACTCCTCAACTCTTTCCTAGGACTAGGATGTTGTGACTCCCATGGCACCCCTTCACTGTTTTTTTTTCCTTTTTTTAATGAATAGGAGGGCTTTGGCTCTCATCAGAGTAGGGTGGTCGTTGCTTTTAATTCCCAAGGACACAAATGCAGTGCAAAGTTAGGACATGCGTGGTAAAGGGGGAACTTGATGCTGGCTGACTGCCAATCACTTCCATCCATTGGTCAAACGGAAGGAGCAGTGGTCAGTACAGTTGATGGGCAATGAGGTAGTGAGGCTTGGCAGGAGTAGAAATACCCTTAATCAAAGGTTTACACCATGAAAAAGGTTGCCTAGAGAGGGAAAAACCAATATGAGTCAGAACATTCGCATGACAAGCTGCGGCTCCCTCAATTAAGCAACCTTAATACAGGATACAACTGAGAGATTCCAAATCTGCTGTTCGGACTGTAAATGCAGCTGAAATCTCCTGAGCTAATGCTGGAAATAGGAAGCTGTGTAAAAATCTGATGATGACCAAGGAGGCAGGCAGATAGGCAGGCAGGTAAGGATGTTTACACTCAGAGAGAAGAACAGAGATCAGTCAGCCCAGAATCAGCAGCCACTTTAAGTCCAGACAGAGTCCTTTTGCTGCTTGTGTCTCCTACCAGATCTCTCCTGAGTTGGAAGTCGCTGGACCATCCTTGGACCATTTGCACTGATGATGGCCCAGTCAAGAGACCAGTCACTTCTTTCTCCTGAAAGCTATCAAAGCAGCTGTGAACTCAGGCTCCATGGCTAGAAACCATGCTTATGGCATAGTAAACAGTATAAGAAACCATAGCTAAAAATGCAGGAGTAGCATAATCTATGAAACTAGTCCAAGAGTTCTAACCTGAAGCATATTGGCAGAGCATGAATAGCCAGTATTAGCTTGGTAGACTCAACTTTGTGTTTTAGTAACACCTTGAGTTCCACCAGCCCTTTCACAGAGGATTTCATTCCTTGTTTGTCCCTTAAGGCTTCTTTTGCAGCACCTAATTTGGAAGAAGAGTTAGGCACTACCAGATGTGGTAATTAATTACTTCTTCAATTAATTGATAAGGGAGATTTCCACCACACAGGATCCTAGTTTCTTCCAACTGCAACATTAAGATTTTGTGCAGTTGGACCTGCAGTAAGAGGAAGTTTGATTTATAAGAACGTTTCTATCGATGTGCGCTGCTGATGAGCTGAGGACCTTTCCAACCAGTTGCAAAACTGTGCCTAGTAATGCCAATTGTTGGACAACTAGAAATCAAGAACCTTGCAGATTGAAGCAGATCTTCATTTGTCTTTAGTATTTTCTTGCACCAGAAGTTCTTGCTAAAGTTTTGCTGGCACATTTCTGCAACACTACACCTGTTTCAAAATGGGAGGGATCCTGAATGAAATAGGATTGGGCAGAGAGGGATTACGTCCCCTTTCATTCACCATATCTAGCATGCACTCTGGAGCTGCACAAGCATGGCTGAAACATCTGGAGCTGCTGCACTATTGCAACAGGACGCTAATGCAAGCACCCTTGAGCAGTTTCTTGCCCTTTTAGCTCTTCTAATATCTCCTAAGACTGAGCTACAGACCTCACAGTGTAAGGAAGGATTACACAGTTGGGGCCTTTCAGGAGGAGGTGGATAGCTCAGTGATTTGTCCAGCTCATTTCCTGTTTACTCAGCATTCTCAGCTCTTCTGGAAAGATGGCCAGAGGTCTTCCCCCAGAGGAGTAAGGTCATTCCTAATAAACTATAGGAAAAAAGACTTTTTTCCAAAAGAAAAATCTATATGCACACAAAATAGTCCCACATCTGAATACCAGTAGACAGCGAGCTTCCTCCCATGTTAACTTGGTCTTCATTCAAGAAGAATCTAATCATGCAAATCTTGGGCCACAGATACCAGCCCATATGTGCGCATTGAAAGCAACAGTCCATGCCAAAAAATCAAGTTTTGTTTCTCGCTTGGCCTGGCCTGATTACTGGAGCACAACCCCTGGCACACCACTCCGAGACCTGAAAAAGTTTGTGCAGCGCCCGTAGAACCAGGGATGGGCAATGAGCAGTCCAGGGCCACAGCAGCCCTCAGCTAGCAAAGGCACAGCTCTTGGACCCAGCAAGCCCCACCTGCAAGTAGTGGCATGAAATGGATTACTTCTGTCCTGCTACTATTAATGGCACAAAGCCAAGCAGTCTGCTCCTTTTTGTCACCTGATCCTTGAACTGGTGGGATGAGAAGGAAGAGGGATGAGGTGTGTGCTTGTTAAATAATACCACGTGCACATCAGGTGTGTGTGAGAGAAAGGACATGTCTGCATCAGTAGGCTCTGAAATAGTCCAAACAGACTCCACCAATGTCTGCACGATTGCCACCAGCTTGAGGGCTACACCACAAAAGTGGGTGAGACCAAGAGGCATTGAGGAAGGGATGGTGTTTCAGAATAAGTTACTGTACCTGGGTTGCAAACATCTGGGCAACTACTGGATGGCAGAAAAGACAAACAGAAAACTCAGCTTTTGCTACCATCTTGTGTTCATCTGGAGTTTTGCGGCCCTAGTTCAGACATTTTACAGAGTGAAATGGGTACCTGCACCTACTAAGCATCTGCAAGGCTGACCTTTAACCCGCCCCCCCCAAATGCACAAAGGGCTTACATTTTGAGCTCCATACACGCAGGGAGGGTCTTGGAGTTGAGGAACATTGGTGGCCCTTGTGGCCCACAGGCTGCACTTTTTGTACTCCTGTCTTAAACCATGGTTGGGCAATCTTTTTTTGGCCAGGGTTCATAACGAATAGGAGCAACTAAGGCCACAGCAGCCAAAGCAGTGAAGTAGAGTGGGCTAAGCTATCTGTTGCAAGTTGGCAGAGCTTGGATTTAACAGTAGTATCTTTTCCTGGATTTTGAGAAGACTAAGGAGAGGTTCTTATCTTTTAAAATATATTAAGCCTATTTGATGGCTTACTTTACAATGTTCATGTATTTCCTACATAGGAGTGGTGGCAGACCACAGCATAGCTAGATTTTGTGCCTAAAGGAGACTAGAACCTGGGTCTCCCCACTCCTAGCCCATCCCTTTAACCACACACCACACACTAAGCACTAAGCAGTAGATATTGCACATACATTCCTAACATTACTCCAATTTAAAAATATTCCTCTTCTCTTCTCTTTGTATGAACACTATTCTGGGCTCTCAAGTGCTGCAGGTTGAATGATTTTGTGCATTGATTTAATCTCATTTCATTTCAGACATTCCCTTTCACAAAAACTAGAGTGAGGCTTACATGCAACTGATCAAGATTTAACTTAAGGATAGCCCACCTGGTGCCCTCCAGATGTTTTGGATTTTAACCCCCATGAGCTCCCCCATGGCTAAGAGGAAGGAATTGGGGGGGGGGTCTTGTCCAAACATCTGGAGGGCATCAAGTTGCCTGCCTGATTTAATCATTCAAAATCTCAGCCAGTGTCATTTTTTAAAAAAAAAAAAGGAAATCCAAACAAAGCTGTTTCTTAAAATACCAGTATCAGGAAATGGCTCAAACAGGCTGACATGGCATTTGGCCAACCAGCTTTCACCCATCTGGGGTCTTAAGACTGTGGCAGTATGAAGCAAATGTCAGAGTTAATTCTCAGGCTTCCAAGCACGGACGCAAAATCCATCAGGCTAGTTCATGCTCACCCTCCTGAGTATTTTTGCATTTAACATCATTGTAGCCACAAAGAGAATCCAATGGAAGGGAGTATGTGTGCAAGTGTGTGTTGGGGGGGGGGGGCGATAACTGTATGCTGTTAGAAGAATAGTCATGTTAAGTCAGCCAGAGGAAAAACAAAACTAAAGCTGTTCCTTTGTACTAAACCTTTGGGGGCAAAGAGAAGCTAGGGGATGTTCAGCAGGAAATCAGCGAGAGATCCTGGCTGCTGGCTGCTCTTTCTTCAGAATAAAGTTGTAAGCATACTTTCCAAAAAAAGGAGGATGGGCTAAGCCAGCAAATTTACTGTCCCATTAATTCTCCCAGCTTATTTCACTCCATACATCAAAATGACTTGGAAATTCAAAGACACTTAGTGAGTAGCTTTCCCTCCAGCCTGACTGGAGATGATGGGAGCTGATACCACCAGATCCAGCAGACATCATCACAGTCAAAGGCTGCTGCACTGTTTCAGAGAAAACCACATCTCCCTCCCCACCCCGGCCTCCCTGCTTCATCCAATTTCCCTCCCTGCCTCCCCACCCCCCAAACACCTACCCGGCGGCTACTTGGAATTCGGGCACTTTCCCTTCTCCCCAGGGCTCGCAGGAGAGTTTCCACCGCATTTCGGGGCTTCATGGTGACCAAGGATACAATGACACATTAATCCCACTTGTGCCTCTGAGTCTTGGCCTGCCAAAATGCTGGGGCCCAGATCCCACTGCCACACACCGCCAAGAGATGCCGGCCCTCTGCACGGTGCCAGAGGCTGCCGTCAGCTACGTTTCTGCTGGCTTCTCGAACCAGCCCAGCCCTTGGAGGATGTGAGGCTGGAAACAATGGGCCAGGAGCCAGGCTGGGCTGCGAGTTCAGGGCAAGTGGTCAAGGGAGCTCCATTTCCTGATTCACAATGGCTCCTTCCCCTTGCAGGGAGGTAAAGGGAAAGAGGGATGGAGGCCTTGGCAGAGATACAGAGGCCTCCAGGTCAGCCCTCCAAGTGTGGGGCTGTACATCACCAGCAACTCTGAGGAGCCAGAAATCAGAAAGAGTTTGGCAGAAAATATAAAGAAAGAGACAAATTAGACCAAGGACTGCAAATAGATTCCAAAAGAAAGATGTCTGTCTGTCTGTCTGTCTTTCTCAGAATGACACAGGGGAGTGACTCTTGCCATTAGAGACCTTCAGGGGAAGATTGTATGTCAGAGGCACACACACAGACACGCACACAGAGTTCCTGCAAGTAGAAAACTAACACCCCAGGGAAAGGGCTTTAGAGCAGTGTTTCTCAGCCTCAACAACTTTAAGATGTGTGGACTTCAGCTCCCAGAATTCCCTGCCCAGTTGCTGAGGTTGAGAAACACTGCTCCAGTGTACTAATTTTCTACCTTTGGGTGGTTTTATTTTAAAAAAAGAAAGAAATAACCCTTAAAATCAACCTTCCTCAGCCTTCCTCGGGTTTACGTTAGCTCCCATACGCTAGCAGTACTGTGCAGCACACAGATTCTCTGGGTTAAGTAAAAGGAACCACCAACCGAGACACAAATGAGTATATAGTAACGCTTTCTGAGCAGAGCTGATTTTGAGAAAAGGATCCTTTGAGACTGGAACAAGGCTTTTCTAAACAATAATTGCAACAACTTTATATATACAGCTGTCACTCTTCTGGGTTTATAGTTGTGATACCACCCAAACCTGCTCAGGAAGGCTGATTTGGCATTGAGGGCTTCTGCTTGCTGACCTGTGCTTGTCAGCCATTGGAGTATTCTGCCTCATGAGCTCTCTAACTATTCTATAGAGAAACCTTATACTGTGAGGAAATTACATCTTTCATGTCCTATATGCATTTAGGTTGAGAGCCACATTTTGAGTGGCATGCCAAGGATAGGTTGGCAGCCAGGACAAAAATGAAATTTGTTTTCATTATATTTACATTTGAAAAAGAATGAAAATTAAATATAATGAATATGATGATTCTCCAGTCATGCATTTATTTGGAGTGTTAAATTTGAATTTAGACCAAAGTGGTCAATATCAACCCAAAGGGTCGATGGGACTATTCAAGGGGTTGATAAATGTCTGGGGGTCAATAGGTGGTTGATAAATGATGGAAGGTCAATTGGGGTCAGTTAATCTTTTGGGGTCTCTGTAGAGCTCCACGCCAACCCCTAGTCCTGAAGGTGAGATGGCTAGTGGAAAGACTGTGTTACCCAGGGTTGGATGGTCAGCTGCCAGCAGCAGTGGCCTTGAGTTGTCTCTATATATTAGTAGTAGTAGTAATGGTAGTACTATTAGCTAAAGTAGTATTTATTAAATTATTTTCATATAATGAATGTTTGGGGGTTGATGAACAATCTGAAACTTCATGAAGGGGTCAATGAACTGAGGAGTTTGGGGACCCCTGATTTAGACAAACTATCTCAAGGGAGGAAAGATGGAAAGCTTCTGCAAAAGGGGTTCCAATATATGGATGAACGGTCACCGACAGATGTGTGGAGACTGCCGAATCCAACAAAGGATTTTCAGCAAGACATCAGTCATACTCCAGAAAAGATATGTGCTGGACCTCTGTTTAACACTATCTATGAAAGAGGTAGACATCCTTCCAATGACATACGTGGATCGTAATCCAATATCAATATCATTGCGCTTTGGAGAACAACTACCTTTTAGATGAAGATTAGATTTAGACTCCATGAGGCTGTCCTACAGAAATGCAAAGAAGAATTGAACTTTTTTTTTTTTTTTCTCAAAACAAACAAGACACCAGCAATCTCTGACATTACCATTTGGAAAACAAGGAAAGCATGTAGGAGGGACCTTCTCATCAAGCTAGCGGCAAAACGAGAAAGAGAATATGATAAATGGGAAGAATGCTGAGGTGCTAAAATAAGAGAACTTGAACCAATACATAAAAGGAATCCAAAAAGACAACCAATGAACGAACTGCAAGAAGCTAAACAACAATTAAATTTATTAGAAATGGAAGAATTACAAAAGAAAAGAAAATTTGCCAAACAAAAGAATTTTGAACATGTGAATAAACCAGGGAAATGTTTAACCTATCGGCTTAGAAAAAAGAAAAAAGCACAGACAATATCAGCAATTTAAAAAAGGACTAAATTATTACATTCAAGACCTTCTTCGCATTTTCGTCCTGAGCAAAATTCTCCCCTTCCTCGGGGAAACAACCATGTCTGGGAGGAGAAGGAAGAGGAGATGGAGACAGAGAAGGGCATGGAAGTGCATCAGCCAGAGCTGCCACAAGGAAGCAGTGAAAGGGAGTGATCAGTGCAGGGGAGATAAGTCTTGTCAGGACCATGGTGCTCACAACTTCTTCACGCAGAAGCCCAGGGCCGATGGGTGATCAGAAACAGCCTTCGGGCACCCCAGTGACTGGCCAACGTTGCTGAATGAGCCCATCCTACCTCTCCAACTTTCCGATGACACAAAGGTTCACACAAACACACATGCAACTTTGAAGAGAGGCTCTATGCAGAAGTGCAAGTGCAAGACAGCCTATAGAAATACACCCAGGTCTGTGGCAGTTCAAGCAGGGCATTCCACCTTTATCCAAAGACCATGGTGAACCTTCACCAAAGCATAGCCAGGTGTGTGTTTATTCAGTGATTCCCAGCCATTAGGCAATATCTGGTACTGGTCCCATGGCTCAATAACCTGACATTCTTAGCATTCACAAGTTTTCTTTATGTTTCTAGCCCTCATGTATATGTATAGGAAAAGCCTAGTAGAATTTTTGTTTTGTATCGTTTTGTGCCTTCAAGTCAGTGTTGATTCCTGGTGACTGCTTGGTCAAGTCCCTGCAGTTTTCTTCGCAAGGTTGTTGGAAGCGGTTTGCCCTTGCCTCCTTCCCAGGGCTGAGAGAGAGTGGCTGGCCCAAGGTCACCCAGCTGGCTTCGTGCGAACTCCCAATCTCCCAATTTCTAGCCTGGTGCCTTAACCACTACACCAAACTGGTAACCAAAAAAAGGTCAAGCGGGACTTCAAATAGAATTGTCCTCTGTAGCTCCTTGTATTTTCCTCTAGCTGGCAGAGGCAGAATGTTCCATCTATCATAATCTCACGTAGGCAGATAATTCCTACGCATATAGGCAATAAACTATTATATTTTATTTCAAAAATTTTAGATGCTTATAAGGTTATAATTTTTTTTTACTTTTTTGGAAAAAGAAATGTCAAAAATGGATAACGACAAAAAGTACTATCAACATAATGTAATACAACAAGATGTTCAGAAAGAGATGTTGATCTTTATTGTATGTTATTCTAAATGTTGAAAAAACTTTTCTGTACAAATATTTGTTTAAAGAATAAAATAAAACTTAATTAAAAAAAATTTTTAGATGCAAATCCACAACTTCAAAGTAAGCCGAGGAAGTCCACAGGACAGCGTTCAAAGAAGCAGGCAGGGATTTCAGCTATCAACAGTGGTAAAATAGTACCGCTCTTCCTATTTCTACTACTACTACTACAAGCTAAATGGGGAGGAAAATGCCAGTGGTGTGTATAAAGATACTGGAGCCCCATTCAGTTCTCATCTAGTCACAATTTTTTAGCTTAACTCCTTATAACTAAGGGCTTGGTTTTTGTACAGGTTCCATTAAAATGGGGCTTCATTAAAAATAAAAGCCTAGATCCTAAAGACCTTTCCCCAGTAATGAGCAATAGTATTACCCATCCGCAAGCCAGCAGAAAACTATATTGGCATGAAATCTGCTGTCCCCGTTGGTGATCCATGGTCTATTTCTGTTGCTTCTCTTCCCAGTCACTGCCAATCATCTGCCAGTGAAAGTCATGGGTGACAAAGCCCAACAGATTTTACACACCTTGGAAGATGCTGCAATCAGGAGGAAACACTGGTATAGCTAAGGGTAACTCATGTCTGTCTCACTCATACACTAGGGATGAGATAAAGGCAATGTCTTATGAACATAGCAGAAAAAAAGTGCTGTCAGGACATAATTGGACAGTGGCTAGGTGCAAGTGCAAATATGGTTTAAAATGCTGGAGTATTAATTCTGTAATTCCACACTAAACTCTGGTACAGGGTGCTTCAGACAGACCACCCCCAGCATCATAAATAAAAAGGCACTCTCTCTTGATGGGCTTTTTTTTTTTTCTGGAAAAAAAAGATGTTGGAAGAAGTGGTGGGAAAAGACCTGAGGGTTATCAGTGGAAGATGAAATCATCAGGATTTCTTATAAAAGTCCATGAGCAATGGAGGCCATTGTGCAATGAAAAAAAAATTCTCACTTGGAAGGATCCCAAGCCAAGTCACCAAATCACCATCTCTGTACTGCCTTTCCCAATCTGTACAGCTAAAATACTTTTAGCTGTCCACTATCACAGCACTGCTAAATGGTTGTAAAGCATTATATCCATTCAATGGAGTACTACAGAGATTACTGGTAGCTAATTAAAAACATATCAAATTATTTGCCTGGGAGGATAAGCTAAGCTGATGAGCATGGGCAACCAGCCAAAAAAAAGCAAGGGGCCCAGTTAATACCCTGAACTTGGTTTTTCCACTTTGCTAGAGCAAGGACAAAGGGAGTCAATCACAGCTGGTAAAATCTTACCATTATGAATTTGGTCAATGCTATGTGGGGAAGTAAGATTCTTAAACAACTAGAGCATGGGGGGGGGAGTATTGTGGAATGAATGGACCCCTTTGGGTTTGCTGAGCACATTAGTTTCATTTTAATTTACCAAGGAACTTGGTATGATAGAAATGCTGCAAATAGGAAGTTCCAAG